TAAATATTCCATGTTGTGACGCCCTTTCAAACTCTTGCTCCGAAGCCAAGTCCCCCTCGCAGATATGCTTCATTTCTGGCCGTTGATCTCTGCAATCTAGGGTTGGATCAAGCTGGCGTTGCCTCTCACTGAAACACTATGCCGTGTTTCTTTCTCTCTGAAACACCATGCTGGACACAACTGCACGAAAGACCCGTCTGTGTCCCGTGTCCCTACTCGCTGAATAGAAGCGGGTTGAGAAAGAAAAAAAGAAAAAAAGGTGCATCGCAGAGGCAGATAAATGTCTGGAACTTTATTATTAATTGTTATTATTAATTATTATTATTAATTATTATTATTAATTATTATTATTCATTATTATTATTATTATTATTATTATTATTATTATTATTATTATTATTATTATTATCATTTTATGACGACCGTAGCATGTAATGTCTTGATTAAAAAAAAGAAGAAAAAAAAGGAACCATACCGTTATTGGCCGGAAAATGGGTCTGTCGTCATTTACATTTATGCCAAAAAAAAAAGAAGAAAAGTCTTGAATTTATAACAAGCAGATGAAAGACTCCGCATTTAAAACCAAAAGGGAAAAAAAAGAGGAAATGAAGAATAGAAATGACAGAGGAGATTATTTAGTAGCATGCCCCCCTATTATAATGAAGAATGACATCATGACACGTGCAGAAATCAAGAAAAAGGCACGAGTTTTGAAGATAAATCTGACCCAAATTCGATTAATTTTTTATTTATTTTTGTTTCTTAGCACTCTGGTCAGAAGATTTATCTTATTATTCCCCATCCCCCATGGCTTTGACGTCAATCATCTTTTGTCTAAGTCTTTTTTTGGGTCATTTTCCAGCGCTTTTATTAAGGGGGGGGGGCGGGGGGGGGAGTTGGGAAATACTGTTTCATTCAGGGGAAGAAACACGGGGCGCACACACACACACACACGCACTCACAGAGTCATGCCTTTTTTTTCTTCCTTTTTTTTTTTTTTTTTTTTTTTTGCTTTTCAAATCGTCCTTTCGTTCTTTCGAGAAGGGCCACAGCGTTCAGATAATCACAAAAGACATACAAAAAACAGGGGCAGAGGCACAATAGTGAAACAGAAACTGCTTTCCAAGCAGCGGGAGACTACGTAAAGTCGTAACCAGTCGTACTCAGCATTCCTGACTGCGCTACAAAGCCTACAAGGTATAACCCTGTCTTCCTGACGTCTCCATTTATGAAAACCCAAAAAATCTGAATAATTCAATAATATAAATGAACAATCAGAAGAGCAATCTAGAAAGTAATCATAACTCCACGAAATGTAATAACTTTCTATCATTTTTATTATTATTATTAAAAAGCACTTTGGGGGGGAAAGAGCTTTCAGAAAACCAGAATAAAAAATCCCGAGGAATAAGGAAATAGAGAAGGAGAGTAATTCAAACTTCACAAAAAAGAACTTATCAAGCCTTAATAGTAAATACCTAAAAGATCATGGACCTAATTCATCAAGTAGACTTCTTTTGACTAGATATAGGGGTATTACAGGACAGTTGGTGATTCATGGTATTCTTTTTTTTTTGGTGGAGTTGTGTATAGCAAACATGATACATCACACACACGCACAAACAGATATTACACACACAAAGGGGAAAAAAAAAAAAAAAAAAAGTGGGGTTACACGCGGTCCTGGGAAGGGGAAAAAAAAAAAAGGCAGGGTGGACAATTGGGTTGCCTCTCTCTCAGATGGAAAGAGTCTCTTACAGCAGAACGTCCATCTCTTTTTTTTTTTTTTTGTCCTCTTCTTCTGTTTTTTCTTTTTTCTTTTTTTGCATGTGGGAGGATGGACAATGGATCAGATATTAAACTGATCAAAACAACAGATACTACACTTCATCTATTTTTAGCCATCAGGCCGAGAAACTTATATATATATATACATTTGTTTCTTTTTTTTCTGTCAAATCTTTCATCATCTTTCAAATTCTTTCAGTTCACCTTCACTACCTACCTACCACTACTCCTAAGGGCCTCTTTTCCACACCACTACAAATATGAGGATTCTTACAAAATCATTCGTTCCACCACAACCACACCCTAATGACGGAAAAAACAAACTCTAGAATGTTTCCACATTTTCGGCTTTTAGGGTTCTAGAATGTTTCCACATTTTCGGCTTTTAGGTTTCACCTCTGAAAAATGAGGGCGCCCCAGGCAAAACGACGAAAATCTCTAGGGAGCCCCCGGTGGTGACTTGAAATGTGAGGGTATGACCATTGGGATTGCCCGACAGGCGGAGGTCCTGACACCCTTCCCTCCTCACCTGAGATGTGAGGTGACTTGAAATGTGAGGGTACGGCCATTCGGATTGCCTGACAGGTCGAGGTCCTGACACCCCCCCTCCTCAGCTGAGATGTAAGAGCAGGTAAAGTGTAGGGTCTTTCTTATCGTTTGTGGAATGAAAAAAAAAAGTTAGGGTAAATTAATCAGGAGCATACGGGAAACCTACTTAACGAGGTGATAAGAGCATCACCGATAACTAGGCACCCGGCGTGGAAGACTCCATCACTTGGTGGGGAGCTGCACCTGCTTGAAATCGGGTCCAGCGTCCCTGTACAATGATGTGACAGCTGGAAATCGGGTCCAGCATCCCTATACAGTGTTGTGAAGCTTTATCCTGTAGTCTGAAACTGTCTGGATATGCTCATGTATCCAAGTATGACATCGACCTAATCCTAGCAATCAGACCAAGCACCAGACCCTACCCCTGATGTGATCTGTGTACATGATGTACGCATCCCTGCACCACGATGTGATGTGTGTCTGCTGGAAATCGGGTCCAGCATCCCTATACAGTGATATATCAGGTCTAACCAGCCCAGGTAAATTCAATCTTGTGTCTAATCTGACAACGGTGGTTTCAAAGTCTGACTACAAATTATATAGAATCAAAAAAAAAAAAAAGAGAAAGGGATTCAGGGAAGGAAAAAAAAAAGAAAAAGAAATGATCTAGTATCGGGTGCCTTGATCCTTTGTTTTCTCTTGTTTTTTTTTTTTTTGGTGAAATAACCTTCCTCTGTGTCTTGTGCATATCTTTCTCTGACAACAGATTGTCAGCTGCTGCTGCTGTTTCTGCTGCTGGGATCGCTATTCCTCTGTGCATCGTGTGCTACTCGCCGACGACGTTCGACCACGTGCTTATCTGTCGTGGGATCCCGACCGCCGACCGCCGACCGCCGACCATACTAAATATCTTACATGTATCTGACCGGATTTACGGCCGGACCAGGATGTATCTGACCGCAATTACGTCCATAAATAACTTTTAAAAAAGTCCTAGTTGTGAGTACGCATGCCTTCAGAAACGACAACGGCGAAACCACATTCCAATTTTCCTATACGCTGTGCAAAGCGCGCCATGCCTCAAGGCGTAATTAATTCATTAGAGTAAAAAAATAATGATATTTAACTAAGTGGTCGGGATCATCATCCTGGCAATCAACATGACGATGCTGAGCTGGAAGTCTGGACCTCGGTCGGCGATCCCGTGCCTGCAATCCATCATGGCGCCGACTGTGTTTCTGCTGGCACTGCTGCTGCTGATGCATTACTCTCCTTCCGCGTCGGGACAGCTGGTCGCGACCGATACCGACTTCACTTTACACCAGAGCACAGACCAAGACGAAATGACCTTCAAGAGGGCAGCGGCGGACAACCTGACTCATTGCATGCACTTGTGCAAGTGGGAATACCGACCAAGATGCAGGGGGCTCGTGTTCATCTCGGCGACGAACGAGTGGGTCAAGGGCAAGTACAACTGCATCCTCAAGAAGAAAATTATGCCGGTGCTGTTCGACAGCCAGGTGGACCGCACCGTGGCCGTGATTCGGAGACCGTGACGAAGGACTAACGTACCATAGGTCCGTCTTCCAACCATTGGCAAGTGACCGGAAATGACTGCCTCTTTCAAATTCAGAGGGAGAGGGAGAGTGAGAGAGTCTCACACACACACACACACACACACACACACACACACACACACACACAGAGAGAGAGAGAGA